TAAACGACTCGGTTACGCTCAGAACTAAAACGAATGAGGGTTGTGCCGATAGGTTCGACTCTGCTGATCCGAGAATGGGAGTCTTGTACGAGGTGTGCTGGTATAAATGTCATGGTGGTTGCAGGGTCTAGTGCGTTGAGTTGATGTATTTCCAGGTTGATCCACAGTATATTACCTTCTCCTAGAGGCGTTAACCATTGTGGCGTAGTTGCCACCGATTACTAGGTATTTATCCAGGATGCCGATGAAACGACGGAGGGAGCATGGAGTCGGAACTTTGATAGGAAACAGCCCGGTGTCTCTCGCCCTTAGCGAAGAACAAGGAATTATACGAGGTGGCCACCGTTTTGCTAGAACAAGCACGGAGACGAAGTCTCTGCGCTCGCAGGTTCCATCCACGAGCAGCTCATTTTTGGATAGTGACGCGGTTCGAGCATAGTACAGCGGCGCGACGGATGAACTCCCGAACTTGGGGATATCAAGGGCAGGGCAGAATAATTGGTTCAGGTTTGTGATTGTATCTATTGATCGCGCTAGGTGGTTACTGACTCCTATCTACTTCCTCTTTGCCAACGTATGAAGAGCTTTTTGGTGTACCAAAGGGTGTTCCAGCAGCTACCGTCGCTCAATACAGCGCTGCACATATTGACGCTAGGTTGAAAGGCTTACTTTGATATCCTCGAGATAATCATGTGCAGTCATTCTGCGTACTCTCAGGAAAACAAAGACACGCAGCGTGTAATCTAGCTAGCTGCTCTAAACGTAGCCATTCACAGCAGCAATTGTCAAACATGGTGCGACGTATGGAAGGCGTACAACGAAAGTATGGTGGACCAAAAGTGGCTAGGCTTCCGATTAATGCTATCGCTAGCGGAAACTATATCAGGAGGTTGACGTACCGGTTCCGATCTTTAACGCAGACTGACGAATAAGCTGTGGCGTTAGCTTTGCCGTGTGTGTTTATTTCTGACGTGACCGTACGACCGCGTCATACGATCAAATCGCATCACTATGTAGTACGAAATACTGACTGGCCTGTTGTGGAGATGCTACCTCGAGATTTGAGTTCTAGGGTGCGCGAAACGATGGTTGGACACATGACAAATGACCTGGTTATAGATTATAAGAAAAGCTACCGACTTAATGTCCCGTTGTGTAGGCTCTGGCTCAGATTCCTTAATCTCTATAATCGAGTTTACAATAAATACCAAGATGCAGTTAGTGTGACGCAGTCACACACTAGAGCCAGGTCTACGATCCACAGGACGTGGTGAATTCGGAGGCGTCACGCTCCGCAGTAGCGGGGACCGCTGGGAACCGACGGACTACAGACGCTATGGTCCTGTAGTGACACTATTAATGCATCTGCTGATGTAATCATCGACCGAACATCGATTACTGGTGAGAACGCTGTACCCGATGCGGCTGTGGAGGGCCCTGGTGACCAGAGTACATATTGTTTGGATTGACAGTATAAGAAGGCGTTGACCCCGCTATTTAATGGACATGAATTGCCGGGTCGAGTGTTGCAGTCTCCAGTACCAGGTGATTTTGTGAATGCCGTCGTTTAAAGCCGAACCAGTTCGTACTACTTTCAAAATGGGTTGCAAATGTTTCCGACCTAGTTTTTTTATGCTGGGTATGGTGGACCCAAAGAAATCCGGAAGAAACATCTGCCGTTCCGGCAATGGTCTTACGATATTGCGAGTTTATGATCATCGTTTTGAAAAGCACTACGCATTAATGTTGTTGACCTTCGACTACTTCACATCTATAAATACAAAAAGAACCCTTTAATTTACGCTGAACGTTCGAAGACAAGCGTTGGAAGGTGCAGAGGTCACCCGAAGTACGGTGACTGAAGCCACTAATATTTTAGCTATTTCTCGGACTGTTGAGCAAAAGGAACGAAGCCATGCCCCCCCCCC